ATAAAAGCCAAGAAATGGAAACAACCTAAATGTCCATTGACTGATGAATGGATAAAGAAAACAGGATAYATATACACAATGGAATGCTATTCAGCCACAAATGGGAAATCCTGTCATCTGTAGCAAACATGGATGAAAATATAAATCATTATTAAATAAGTGAAATAAGCCAGGCTCAGAAAGATAAGCACCACATAATCTCACTTATGTGAAATATATAWAAAAAAAATTGATCTCATAGAAGTTAGGAGAATGTTGATTGCCAAAGGCTGGGGAAAGTAGCTGGAGRAGGAATGAGGAAAGGCTGATCAAAGGGTACTAAATAATTATAAGATAGGAGCAAGCTCGGATGCACTATTGCACAGTAGAGTAATTATAGATACCAATAATATGCTGTACATTTCAAAACATTGGAAGAAAGGATTTTAGAAGTCTTCACCATAAAGAAACAATGTTTGAGGAAGTAAGAATGTTTAACCTTATTTGAACATTATGTGATATATATGTATATTGAACATTAATTATGTAGTACTCCATTAATATGTACAATTTTTTAATTTTTGTGAATCAACTAAAAAGTAAATAAACACAAAAATTCAAACAAAACAAACTTGCCAACCAATACTGTATCAAGCTAAGCAGTTCTTCAAAAAAATGACTTTTCCAGATAAACAAACCTTATGGTGTTCACCGAACACCAACCTGTCTTACAAAACACAACATACCCAAATCAATGGAATTCAGCAAAAGCAATTCTAAATACTGCACCTCAAGGAACTGAAAAAAAAAAAGAAAAAAAAAAAAGAAAGAAAGAAAAAAACAAGGAAAAAAACTCAACCTAAAATCAGACTAAGGAAAGAGAGAAGACTCAAAATCAGAGACAAAAAGGCAGTCATTTTAACTGATACTGCAGAAGTACAAAGAATCATAAGAAGAGATAGTCTCTTTAATAAATGGTGTTGGGAAAACRATATTAAATGTGCAGTAGAATGAAATTAGACCTTTATTTCACACATATACAAAACCAACTCAAAGTGGACTAAAGATTTAAAAGACCCCAAATCATACAACTACTAACATATGTATATGATAAGCTCATGACATGGATACAACCTCAAAGGCACAGGCAATAAAACCAAAAATTAAAAAACGGGATTATAACAAATTAAAAAGCTTCTGTACAGCAATGAAAATAATTATGATGAAGAGAGCCTACAGAATGGGAGAAAATATTTGTAAACTATATACCTGGTAAGATATTAACATATAAAATATGTAAGTAACTCAATCAACCTGATAGTAAGAAAACAATAACCCAATTTAGAAATAGGCAAAAGATTGAAACAGTTCTCAAAATAAGATATATAAATGAAAAACGGGTTCATGAAAAAATCCTCAACATCACTATCAGGAAATTTAAATCCAAACCAGAATGAGCCATTACCTCATGCTTATTAGAATGGCCATCATCAAACAAAGAAAAGATCACAGGTGTTGACAAGGATATGGAGGAAAGGGAATCCTTATGAATTGTTAGTGAGAGTGTAAATTAGTACAGCCATTATTGAAATTGGTGTGGAGATTCCTCAAAATATTAAAACTAGAACTACCATATGATTCAGCAATTCTACTTCTGGGTATATATCCAAAAGAACTGAAATCAGTGTGTTGAAGAGATATATTCACTTGCATATTTACGACAGCACTATTCACAACAGGCAAGATACAGAATCAACCTCAGTGTCCACTAAGGGATGAATGGATAAAGTAAATGTGGTACATATACACAATGTAATATGATTCAGCTATAAAAAAGAATGGAGAATATTATGTTAAGTGAAATAAGTCAGACACAAAAAGACTCTGCTGCATGATCTCACTAAAAACAAACAAACAAAACCAGTTGATTCAATAGCTAAACTATGGAACCAACCTAGATGCCCTTCAACAGATGAATGGATAAAGAAAATGTGGTACATATACAGAATGGAATATTACTCAGCCTTAAAGAAGAATGAAATTATGGCATTTGCAGGTAAATGGATAGAACTGAAAACATCATGCTAAGTGAAATAAGCCAATCCCAAAAAACCTAAGGCCAAATGTTTTCTCTGATAAGCAGATGCTGATCCACAGTGGGGCAGGGAGGATAATGTAGGGAAGAATGAAGGAACTTTGGATTAGGTTGAGGAGAATGAGTGGAGGGGTGGGATGGTGGGGAAGGGAAGGATGGTAGAATGAGACATTATTATCCTATATACGTGTGTGATTACACTAGTGGTATGACTCTGCAGCATGTACAACCAAAGGAATGAGAAGTTGTGTTCCATTTGTATACAATGTGTCAAAATGCATTCCACTGCCATGTACAACTAATTATAACAAACTAAAAAAGATAGAAGTGAGACCAATAGAATAGAAGAGGAACAGGGAGAGGAAGAGGGGGAAAGGGGATAGACTGGGGATTGAAATTGATCAAATTATATTATTTTATTATGTGACTATATGAATATATTATAACAAAAAAATTTTTTAAAAATTGATCTCATTCAAGTAGAGAACAGAATGGTGGCTAACAGAAGCAGGGGTGGTTCAGGAGGGAAGGGGAAGATGTTGATTAAAGAATATATAAACACAGAAGAAAATACATTCAAGAAATCTATTGTATAGCAGGTGACTAGAGTTAATAATAACTGTATCCTTTGAAAATGCAGAGTGGATGTTGAATACTATCATCACAAAATGATAATTATCTGAACCATTCCACAGTATAATAAAATGGAATAACACTGCTTGAAGCTTCAATTTTGAAAGGTTGGTTGTGATTCAACAGTTGGTTACCATTTTAAATTACAAGTTTTCAATTCTGCAAATACTTTAATGACACAGGTGCATTAAAATAAACTACTTCAAAGTATATATACTTCAAAACATCATGCTGTATGTAATACACATATTTTTTCTGTCAATTTTTTTTTTTTGAGAGAGAGAGAGAGAGAGAGAGAATTTTTTAGTTTTTGGTGGACATAACCGAAAACTATGTGGTGCTGAGGATTGAGCCCAGTGTCCCGCGCATGCCAGGCGAGTTCGCTATCGCTTGAGCCACATCCCCAGCCCCGCAATTTTTTAAAAATAAAAAATTTTAAAAACCCAATTACTGAGGATTTATAGAGATATGTGCTAGGATTAGAAGAGTGAAAGCAACAAGGCCATGCAAAATGCCACTGCATTTTTTTCATGCAGAATGATGGCTGAGTAGGAATGTCAATTGCATAAGTAGTGAAATGGTCAAACTGGGAATAAATTTCCAGAATAAGCCAAACCCAACAGAACTTTGTTATGGAATTAGTAAAATGAGCTGAATAAAAGATGTATTGAAAATTGACATGATACTGATAAGCTCAAAATATGTTTAACTCCATTTACAACTTAAAATACCCAGTTTTAAAGAAGCAAAATCTACTTATATTGGTGTCAGACTTGAAAAGATAAATCCTTCAAAATTTATGTTGAAATGTGTATTTAAATTTTTTTCTCATTTTTATGACACATGAAATTTTATTCCTAAAAATTTCCTTTCTTAACCAAATTTTTGTTTCTTATACATAATAAGTGGAATAATACTGCTTGAATCTCCAATTTTGAAAGGTTGGTTGTGATTCAACAGTTGCTTACCATGTTAAATTACAAGTTTTTAATTCTGCCAATACTTCAATGACACAGATGAATTAAAATAAACTAAAAATACTCAATTTAAGTGTTCATAGGTATTCTACATATGGAATGATAATGGGATAAAATGTGCTAATAGGTACTTGTTAAGTAGAATAACACAGAGAATGAGCAAAAACAAAGGTTTCAAGAAATTCTAATATTTTATGCAAAATAAGATTCCAAATGGAATTAGGTTATTAAAAAAATAATGCATCTGAATTTTAACAACCAGACATGAAAAGATTCTAGATTCTAAGGACTACATATATTAATTTATATAAGAAACACATGAAGATCAGCTTCAAACAATTTTATACTCAACTATTTTTCACATAAAAATATTTTAAAAGTTATATTATTAAAAGAAAGTTCTTGTACAATATAAATTCAAATCATTATCACTTAATGGGTTTAGAATCACTATAAAAATAACTTAAGGGCTGGGGATGTGGCTCAAGCGGTAGTGCGCTCGCCTGGCATGCGTGCGGCCCGGGTTCGATCCTCAGCACCACATACAAACAAAGATGTTGTGTCTGCCGAAAACTAAAAAATAAATATTAAAAAAAAATTCTCTCTTAAAAAAAATAACTTAAGCCTTAAAGAAGAATGAAATTATGGCATTTGTAGGTTAAATGGATGGAGCTGGAAAATATGCCAAGTGAAAGAGGCCAAACCTAAAAAAGCAAAGGCTGAATGTTTTCTCTGATAAGCGGATGCTGATTCATATTGGGAGGGGCGGGAAGAATAAAGAAACTTTGGATTGGGCAGAGAGGAGTAAAGGGAAAGGATGGGGTGTGAGGGTGGGAAGGACGGTGGAATGAGATGGACATTATTACCCTGTATACATATATGACTACACCACTGGTGTGACTATGCCATGTACAGCCAGAAGAAGTTGTGCTCCATTTGTGTCCAATGTGTCAAAATGTATTCTCCTGTCATGTATAACTAATTAGAACAAATTATTCAGTTTAAAAAAAAAAACAAAAAAATAACTTGAACATACTTTTCTAATGTAATTATTTTTTCCAAGTGGGTTAGTCTGGCATATAAACCCTATGGAAGCAGGATGTGAGACTGCATCTTTTCTACATATTTTTTCTATACCCTGGAAATAGTCTAATCGTAAATGCTAAGTTATTTTAGAAAATCATGCTAAGTATAGCTTTGCAAAACTTTTGTTCATTCTAAGCTTTTACTCAAACACCAACCAAGTTCTTCAACGAAACTGGCAGAAAATCATAATCCTTTTCCCCACTTCATGAGTTATTTAAAAAAAGAAGCACCTGGCACAGATATAGAATCCTCTGCACACTAGAGACAACTGCTCTAATGATCTGAGGTCCAAGTCACTGGACACYACCCATCGGAAGATGTACATCAGGACTTCCATTGGCAGCACTGCAAAAGAAAATCATCCTTCAATTACTCTCCTGCTTGTCATTGCACTGTCAAAAAAACTACATTCTCAGTGCATTTGTGCTTACTAGAAATTTATGAATGTATAAATCACACTGTTAGTACTGCTCAGAGATATAGCATTAGTGTATTTAACTACCCAATACTATCAATATTTCCTAGCATCAAAAGACAAATATCATTGTTTTTTCAGTAGAGAATAAATTTGAAGTTACTTCTATAAAGCACACTTTTCCTTTGTAAGATTATTTTACCAGGAAGTTMTATTAAAATAAATGTTAGAAAAATAATCTAATATATGTGTGTGATCCATATTGCATTCATTAACACTAAAGAATTATTTTCTTGAAAACTTTAAATTGTCTTCCTCTAAAAAATTATTTAACAATATTCAACATTTGAAGAAAAATTACAGTAACTTCAAACATTTGGCTGCCTCAGGACTATTTTCTACCCTGGTAAAATCTTTATGGTAGCAGCATTACTCCAATTTTCTGGGGACTACTTCAACAACTCCAACTGACCCATTCAGATCTTCACTGAAAAAAGTATGGCATCCTTGAACAATTGCATTTCAACTCTTATCTGTTTCAGATTTTGAAAAGTTTATTAGTATATACAAACAAATCTAGGTAAGTGGATCTTTCACCATATTGCAATTATATGGCAATATGTAGGTCCAGAAAACTTCCAAGAATCCACACCTGATATGTGAGTCTGACTGCTCTCAAGCTCAGGCTGACACAGTTTGAGCACAGACTCCTGAAATGTGAGCTGCTGCTGGAAGTAGGACAAGAGATCTGCCATCTTGCTGTCATCATCATTATCTTCAATGCTGAAAAAAGAAGGGAGATGAATAAAGTGTCTCAGACTATGAACATAAATTTAGAAACTGATTTTTCACAACACTTTCAAATCTGTTTTAGAAAGTCATTAAAAACAAGCTTTCTTACTGCTTTAAAAAACTGCAATAGTAGTTTATCCTGCCTTGCAAAGGAGTTATCACACCAAGTTTTTCAAAGAAAAACATTTCAGTGATAACCCATTAAGAATTAGGGTTTGGGGATTTAGGTAATGAGATTACTTAGTTTTATTTTAGACATTTCATAAGTTAAGTGAAAATTGTCAAATGAACTGAAAATCTTTCGTAAGTAATTCTTTAAGTAATCTAAATTCTTTCTAACTAGATAAAAATCAAATATACTGATATCATTCGAGGTACTTACTTACCAAGATTTTTCTTATAGATATATCTAATTATCTTTTAAAAGAAAACATCTACTTTGGAAAGATCTCAGGGTCCACACGTATCACCTACCATGATATAACAATGTGTAGTTAAGAATTTTTAAAGTCTAGCTCTCCATTTTTCTTGACATTAATATTAAAGATGATCAGACTTACAAAAGGCTTGAATGAGAAATAAGGGAACCAGAAAGGGTTTTTTAATAATACAACAAAAAGCAAGTCTGATTGAGGTTAGTTGGACTCAATGGCTAGTTTACTAATATTTTACTGGGGAAGGCAAAAACCAAACAATAATAAGCCCATCAAACTTCCAAGGTTTATCAATCAGGTAATTAAAAACAGACTATCTTATCAATCAGGTAAGTTATTAATCAGGTAATTAAAAACCGACTAGCACTCAGCCTTTTTTTTTTTTAAATTGGCTAAAGACCTAGCTCTGAATGACTCTACCCAAACTTAAAGAAGGTTTAGAAAAAGCCCAAATGACTCATTTTAAGTATGAACTCTCTCACACTGTTAACTCCAATTTGGTGAAAAATATTGTTAGATCAAAGACTCAAACAGGCAGTTAATATTGACTTCATTGGATGTTTACAATACGGTTTATCCAATTCTTAAATGCTTATATGTGTGTGTATATATACATATGTGTGTATGAGTATATGTGTATATGTATACATATATACATATGTATACATATACACATACACATATACATATACACATACACACACATCACACATGCATTTAAGAAACACTGGCAAATGCATGCCCATAATCTAAGTTACTAATGAGGCTGAGGCAGGAGAACCGCAAGTTCAAGGCCAGCCTGGACAAGCTAGCAAGACCCTGTCTCAAAAATAAAATTAAAATGGCTTAGAATTTAGCTCAGTGGTAGAGCACCTGACTAATATACATGAGGACCTGGATTCAATCCTCAAAACCACACACACACACACACACACACACACACACACACACACACACAACACACACGGCAATAAGCACATACCACTGATAAACGTAACTTAATTATTCATGACAATGAATATAGTAATAGTCAAAATCTCCTTACCAAAAGTCTATTTTTAAAACCTGACATTCTCCCATAGGTACAGACACCCTTTCCTTCTAATATCATCAAAATGGACTCTTGGGGATAGAGGTACTGGACCAAAACAATTTTATAATTGTCTTACAAATATCTTTGATAACATTGGCTTAAAAATATGTTCTCTTGGTCTTTGTTCATATTAAACCTTTAGTGTAACTTCATAACTTTGATGCAAATGACATCTACAGAGTGAAATGCAATTTCTTTTAGAAATATTTCCATCTTACATCTTTTTTTTTTCTTTTAAAGTATTGGGAATTGAACTCAATGGTACTCTACCACTGAGCTACATCCCCAGTCCTTTTTTTAATTTGAGACAAGGTCTCACTAAGTTGTCCAGGCTGGCCTTGAACTTGTGATCCTTCTTCTTTGGCTTCCTAATTTGCTGGAATTTTTGGCCTATGTCACCCTGCCCGGCTATACCTATAGTTTTAAACAATGTTACTTTAGAATTTATGAGATTAATATTTTGTTAGAGTTCAGCATTTTCCTAATAAAATCCCACTTTTAAAATGTAAAATGTTTTGCTATGCTCTGTGGCACACACCTAGCAACTTGGAGGCTAAGGCAGGAGGATTGCAAGTTTGAGGTCRGCCTTAGCAACTCAAGTGAGATAAAAAAAGAAAACAAGGACTGGGAATGTAGCTCTGTGGTAAAGTGCCTCTGGGATCAATCCCTAGTACTGCAAAAAAATAAATAAATAAAGTTTAAACATAAAAGCAGAAAGACTGATGTAATGAAATTTCATGTACGCACCATCTGATTTTAACCACTATTAACATTTGGTCAACTAGCCCTATTTTATATTTTAGTATTTTTATTTCAAATGTTTTATAAGGTTGAAGTGATTTCTTTATTTTACTCCTTTCAGCAATCACTGCTTTTATTTAAAACATTCATCACCTTAYTTTTGTTAAAGCTATTTAAAATGTACATTTTCATATTTTAATCTAAGAATTTCCTAATTTAAAAATTTCTGTAAGTTATAAATAAGGATATACTAAATACTACATAGATTAACAGAATTAGCACCATCTTCTCATCATGTTAAGAGTCAGCATGGCAAAGACACTTAACTTTAACACACTATGCATTACTGTCTATCAAATTATATACGCACTAGCTGTTTCCAACGCCATCACCATCTGGAGACCGGGTATAAGTAATCTTGAACTCTATATCAGGTACAAGTTGCATAGCCCTACGATAAAACTTGATGGCTAAAAGAAGAAATAAAGCTAAATTAGCTAGGACCACACATTTTTGTCATTTCCTTTGATTACCCTTAACTGTAGTTTAATTTTGTAAATTTCTTTACAAACAGCCAAACTCTCTTTTTATAGATGCAATAGAAGCTTAGTGAACAAACTTATTTCCAAATCTTACTAGAAGATTTGGAAATTTTTTCTCTTAAAGTTAATGTGTTACTGGTATCTTTTTTCCCATCTCATGGTTTTCCTCACCCTTTTATGTCTCTCTTCAGAAGTCTTTCTTCTGACTCTGAAATTGCAATTTCTACGGCCCCAACAAAAAAATTTCTAAGCAAATTTTTCATTCTAAGACACAGCTATTAAAATCAAGTGCCTCCTACTGGATGTAACAGAGAGTGTTTGAAATTTTACCTTCACATTCAATTTCCTTTAGCTTAGTTGCTTCTTATTTAGCTAAATAACTTTAAAACTGATTTTTTTATAACCCTCCTGGCCAAGTGGTTTAGAACTGTAAATAATCTGGGGCTGTGGAGACTAATTAGTTCTTTTTCCCCTTGGATGAATTCTATTCAATTCAATATATTATGCCATGTTCATTTTTTCCACCTTTTAAAAAACTGGTGCATTAATGATGGTATTTGTTGTTACATATTTGTACATGCAACAATATAATTTGACTAATATCACTACCCAGCACTTCTTCCCTCCCACCACTTGGTCCCTTTCCTCTACTGATCTTCCTTTGATTTTCATGAGATCCACCCCCACTTTTTTCTTTTTCCTTTCTAGCTTCCACATGACAGAAAATATACAACCCTTGACCTTCTGAGTTTGACTTATTTTATCAGAATGTTCTCTAGTTCCATCCATTTTCCTGCAAATAATATGTCATTCTTCATTATGGCTGAATGAAACTCCATTGTGTATATAAACCACATTTTACATATTGTTGGTCATTTGTATTCCTTCTTTTGAGAAGTTTAATTCATTTGCCATTTATTAATTGGGTTATTTGATTTTTTTGTTGTAAAGTTTTGACTTCTTTATATATTCTAGATATTAATCTTGTCAGAAAAGTAGTTAGCAAAGATTTTTCTCCCATTCTGTTGGTTTTCTCTTCACATTCCTAATTGTTTCTTTTGCTATGCAGAACCTTTTAAATTTAATGCTGTCCCATATTAACTCTTGGCATTATTTCCTAAGCTTTAAGGGTCCTATTGAGAAACTTGTTGCTTATGCTAGAGTGTTGACCCTAAGTTTTTTCCTAGGAGTTGCATAGTTTCTGTTCATATATCTAGATATTTGATATATTTTAATTTGATTTTTGTGCAGGGTGAGAGATAAGAGTCTAGTTTCATTCTTCTACTTATGGATAAGCAGTTTTCCCAGCAATATTTGTTTTAAAAAGGCTCTTTTTTCTTTAATGTATGTTTTTGGCACATTTGTCAAGGATCAGATGACTGCAGGTATGGATTTGTCTTTGTGTCTTCTATTCTATAACACAGGTCTATGTGTGGTTTTATGCAAGAACCATGCACTTTTTGTTAATATAACTCTGTAGTATAATTTGGAGTCAGGTATTGTGATGCCTCCAGCATTGCCTTTTTTTGCTATGTTCTATTTCATTCTGGGTGAAATACCATATTTTAAGCTGAATCGGAAGTATTACAAACAAGACTGAAGACTGAGTAGAGATGTGACCAACTGGACCCTTTAAAAATGTGTAAGAAACTTGCAAGTAAATAAAGTAACTGTAAATGTTGTTATTTATTTATTTTTTTTRGTATTTCCAAATGCTTCAAGCAAGAACATTTTCCCCATGATTATATTTACCATAAAAAATGAAAACACATATGAATTTCTATTGGGTTATTAAAAGAAACTATTAAAGATGAAGCATATACTTTGACAAAGTGTAAATTAGAATTCAAAAAGGAAAACATCTATGTATTCCTTGATTTATCCTTTATATTTCCCTCCTTTGAAGTAACTTTCACCTATGAAAATATACCCTATTTTAMGATGAATACAATTTTTAAGGTTTTATTAATGAAGAAAAAACACTAAAACTAAATGTAGAAAAGAATTGTTTTACTCATCCTTCCAATACAATGTTTCCCAGAAATTATTTTTTGAAACAGACAAGTTGTATAGAAATAAAGTCTTAAAACTTTTTGACTTAAAAACTCATTTCAAACATAGGAACATTGATGTTCTATACTAAATAAGATTTAGTTWAAAAAAATCAGTAACAAAGAGTTGTTCTTAAAAAAAAGTCATAACTACATAATCTTGGGCCTTGAGTTTTACCTTCATAGAGAGCTCCATTTTGTTCTTCTTCTACTGCTTTTAGGAAGAGTTCTCGAGCCTATAAAAATAAAAAGTGGAAAATAACTTTTGAAAATCTGTATTAAAAGTGAATATGGACAGCAGTAGAGTCTTTTCAACAAATGGTGCTAGAGCAATTGCATACTGACAGGCAAACAATGCACTTTGATCTAAATCTCATATCTTACATAAAAATTAACTCAAAATTAACCATAGACTCAAATGTTAAACCTATAAAATCATTAGAGAGGAAAAGAAATGTAAGAAAATCTTGGAGACCTAGGATTACGTAAAAAGAGTTCTTACACTTGACACCAAAAGCAAGATTCATAAAAGAAAAAAGTTGGTTGGTAAACTGGACTTCATCAAAAAACATTTGTTCTAGAAAACTCTAGAACTTGTATCTAGAATACATAAAGAACTCTCAAAACTCAACAGTAATAATATAAGCAATCCATTTTAAAAAGGCATGAACATTATTTTACAGAGAGATGTATAGATGGGAAAAAAAGCACATGAAAAGATATGCAACATTATTATCCATTAAGGAAATGCAAGTTAAAATCACAATGAGATATCACTACACCTATTAGAATGGCAAAAATTAAAAAGTAGTGACAAAATGCTAATGAGGATGCATAGAAACTGGATCCCTCAGATATTGCTGGTGGAAATATGGTACAGACACTTGGGAAAAGTTTGGTAATTTCTCTTACGACAAAACGTGTACTTACCATAGAATCCAGCAATTGCACTCTTGGGTATTTATATCAGAGAAATAAAAACTTACTTTCGTAAAAAAAAAAAAAAAAAAAAAACCCTGCATACAAATATTCACAGCAGTTTTATTCACAATAAAACTGCTATGATGGGCTGGGGATGTGGCTCAAGCGGTAGCGCATTCGCCTGGCATGCGTGCGGCCTGGGTTCGGTTCTCAGCACCACATACAAACAAAGATGTTGTGTCCGCCAATAACTAAAAAAAATAAATATTAAAATTCTCTCTCTCTCCCTCTCTCTTTAAAAAAACAAAAACAAACAAAAAAAAAACTGCTATGATGGGCTGGGGATGTGGCTCAAGCGGTAGTGCRCTCGCCTGGCATGCGTGCGGCCCGGGTTCGATCCTCAGCACCACATACAAACGAAGATGTTGTGTCCGCCGAAAAACTAAAAAATAAATGTTAAAAATTCTCTCTCTCTCCCTCTCTCTTTAAAAAAACAAAAACAAACAAAAAAAACCTGCTATGATGGGCTGGGGATGTGGCTCAAGCGGTAGTGCACTCGCCTGGCATGCGTGCGGCCCGGGTTCGATCCTCAGCACCACATACAAACGAAGATGTTGTGTCCGCCGAAAAACTAAAAAATAAATGTTAAAAATTCTCTCTCTCCTTCTCTCTCACTCTCTTAAAAAAAAAAAAAACTGCTATGAAATATTTTTCAACCAGTGAATGGTTAAAAAAAAAAAAACACTGGGGAACATTTATACCAGGCAATACTACCCTAAAATAAAAGAGAACAAACTGATGACACACAACATAGACAGATTTCAAAGGAATTATGTCCACTGAAAAAGTCAGCTTCGGGAGGTTATATATTGTGTGATGCTACTTTCCAAACATTCTTGGAATGTAAAAATTATAAAATGAAGAACAGATCAGTGGTAGCTGCCAGTGGTTAGGAATAGCTGGGGAAAGTGGGAGGAAAGGGACAGCATAACTATAAGAATAAAGGATCCTTCAGGCAATAAAATAATTTGTGAAAGTTGTCAAGACTCTAAATGAAGTCACTATGTCGACTTTAGCAAAATAAAGCTGGAGGATCATGAGGGGAAGGCTCTTACATATGATTTGCCTGAAAACAAGAACAGACTCTGCCATAACTGCAAACTTGCCCAAAGACCATGGCAGCTCACAAAGAATACTTCTACAAGAACATTTGCCCAGCAGTTAATTGCCTGTCAACCTTGAGTTGATACCACAGTTGTTATTAACTCTTGAATACAAGGTTAATTGTTTCAAAACAACTTATGCAATCTTATTCATTGTACCTTTTAAAACATTTCATTTGCCTCCCTGAATATGCCTAATGATCTATCATAGCATCCATATTCCAGATTGCAATCTGCTCATTCTACAATAAAATCTTTTTTTTTTTTTTTTTGTACCAGGGATTGACCCAGGGGTGCTTAACCACCGAGCCACATCCCCAGCCCTTTTTAAATTTTTTTTATTTAGAAATAGGGTGTTGTTGAGTTGCTAAGTGCYTCACTAAGTTGCTGAGGCTARATTTGAACTCAAGATTCTCCTGCCTCAGCCTCCCAAGCTTCTGGCATTATAGGCATGTGCCACCTCCAATGGGGAGACAAGTTCTATATCTTGATTGTGGTAGTGGTTATATAAACTACCCATGTGATAAAATTACATAGAACTATTTATACACATACACATGGATAAGTAATTGTAAACCCAGAGAATATGAATAAGCTCTAAGGACTGTACCAATGTTTATTTCCTATTTTTTTGATTTTGTACTACACTTAGGTAAAACATTACTAAGAAAAGTAGGGGAAGGCTAAGTGAAGGGTGCATGGAACTTCCCTGCATCTGTGAACCTATAATTATTTCTAAATAAAAATTAAAACAAGTTTGGCAGATTTTAGTCATCATAATAATGTCAATTATTTAATGAGTAATTATAAACAAAAACTTGGATCTGATTGTGTGAAGATGAAGCCTCTATAAATGAGGATAATGAAAAATGAAATGGTGTGCTGTGCTTACTCCATGTGACTAAGTACAGGAGAGGAGTGAGCAATTAGTATTCAAAATAACTTCACTGTAAGCACATTCAAATTTTTTCCAAAATAACTAATATATAGGGGCTGAGAATGTGGCTCAAKCGGTAGCATGCTTGCCTGGCATGTGTGCGGCCCGAGTTCAATCCTCAGCACCACATACGAACAAAAATGTTGTGTCCACTGAAAACTAAAAAATAAATAGTAAAAAAAAATTCTCTCTTTCTCTCTCTTTAAAAAAAAAATAACTAATATAGCATTATAATATGTTCAACTTAAAATATAAAGAAACATTACATGAAGTAAAGATTGCCTTTGAAAAGGCATTAATATTTGAACAATTTCTTTTTTATTTCTGRGTTTCTATTAATAAATTCAGAGGCATCAATCTTTTAGAGACCAAGTGATTCTAAAGGTTCTACAAATTAACAAAAGACAATACCATGAAGATAACATATCTACAGGGAGAGARGCCCATGGCAGTGGTATCAAGAAAAGCACCTGAAAATTAGGAATGTATAAACTGGCATTTTAGTTGAAATTTTTTTACATAAAGAAAAACTCTTTTATTTTACGAATTATATGTTTATGTCACCAGAGTATGATAAATGATTACTTATGTCAGTGAAAATTCTATGTGGGGAAAAAAAAGTAATTTGTTAAAATGTCATTAATACTTAACTTTTCTTCTTTTGCCAGTTCTTGTTTTCCTTTGGTATCTGCTGCTGCTTTCAGTAAAGAGCCTCTTGTTGCTTTGCAAGGTCGAGTTTCTAAACTGCTAGAGCCTACACCTGGGGCAAGTTCAAACATCCACTGAGCACGGAACATCTGGAGTTGTGCCTAAAAGGGAAAAGCATTTTAGGACATATTAAAGAAGGGTAGCTAAACTCTGGAACAATTTATCAATATTTCCAACATCTATTTCCAGGTATATTCTTGTTATTCTAAGACCAGAAAACAGTCTTATAAATTACTAACTACCCAATAAATATTTATCATCTTCTCAAATAATTTTCTACTTAAAATCTTAAAAAGTTAAAATTAACCTCAAATAAGTCTGATTATACAGCAAAAGAACTAATAGTATTGAACAGCCAAATTTAAATTAGAATTAAAAATATAAGTCATGACTGAGGGACTGAAATGTAAAGCTCCCAATAATTTGTTAATAAGTTTATCATTTGGTAGACATTAAGAATGCTGCTATCGTGCGAGGCCCTGGGTTCAATCCTCAGCACCACATAAAAATAAATAAAATAAAGATATTGTGTCCAACTACAACTAAAAAATAAATATTAAAAAAAGAATGCTGCTAAAAGTTCTGTAGGTGAGTTCAAAGTATTTCTTTTAATAAAATTCTCTATTTCAAAGAGAATATAAATTTTTCTAACACCTATCATATTAAATATGTAAAACAAAAATGTGAAGACCTATATATGGTAGACTATGATGAGCTCTTTTTTCGGGAATGAAGAACTTGTAACCCCAAATTTCTGAAGAATTATTTGAAAACAGCCCTGAACTGTCAGCCCTTTTGGTATTGCCTCAGCATGATCACAATGCCCTGGGCACTGATGCTAAGTGCCCAATAAAACTAGCATGGCAATCTCCACTCCTCTGCTTCCTTCCCACTGAGTCCACAATGGGGTATCCTCCCTCCCAAAGACAGCTATTGTTAATAGAACTGTATTATTGTTAGATTCCTTCTTAATGGTAAATATGAAATGTTTTAAAAATAGTTTGTCTATTCCTGGACACTGCTTGGTTCCCACACATGGTTCTAGCATGTCATACACATACCTCTTACAGAATCTTCAATAGCATTCCAAATAAACAAGTATTAGAAAGCTTATGAATTCCCTATTTCAATGCACAAAGATTTACTCCATCTTTCTAAATGGCTGTAGTGTATCTCATCCTATGGATGCATAATTATTTAACAAAAGAAGTGGATATTTAGAGCTAGGCATGGTGGCACAAGCATTTAATCCCAGAGGCTTGTGAAGCTGAGGCAGGAGGATCATGAGTTCAAAGCCAGTCTCAACAAAAGTGAGGTGCTAAGCAAAAAAGAAGTGGATATTTAGGTTGTGTGACACTTCTGCATATAAACATTTTTGCTTATGCATATTTACTCACTTCCTCCATTATTTCCTTAGGGATGATGTACTAGAACTGCTATTCAAGGAGAATGCATGGTTTTCATTTTGATCCATATTGCCAATCTGACTTCTAGAAAGTTGTGGCAATTTAAACTTTCATGTATACTGCATGAGTGATCTCATAGCCTGCTCAGCAATAAACACTATTCACCATACAGATTTAAAAAAAAATTTTTGTTTTCCAGATGGAACCCAAGGGCACTTTACCACTGAGCACCCACCTCCTCCCCTTTTTTGGTCTTCTGAAATTGCTGAGGCTGGCCTTGAACTTGCAGTTTTAGCCTCCTCAATAACTGGGATTATAGGTACTTTTCTGTTAACTGTCTATTCACATATTTCTACCCCATGTTCCTCTAATTTACAAGAGTGGTCAGCAGATTAAGAATATGAATCCTCTGCCCATATGTGGTAAACAGTTGTTCTTAGCTATTTGTTAACTTTATTTTATATGGGTTTTAAAACTTTTAGCAGGTCAAACTCATCAATCTTTTTCTTTAAAGTTATGAGTTTTGAGTGATGCTTAAGCCTTATTTTGAATACTTCAAAATCATATAATACATAGCAATAATTAATACTTCTTTCATAGAAAAAGAAATCTATAAGTTATGTTATATAAGTATTCTATAAAGCAATATGAAAATAGTTAAATTCAACACAAACACAAACCTGCAAATTTCCATAATCATGACCAATTTCTGTTTATGTATGGGAAGCAGTGGAATAAGAATCAAAAATATAATTGAAAATACATGCCTGCAGATCTGTTTCAGCAGGACTTTCATTTTCTTCATCATCTCCTGCTCTGACAGTATCAGAATGACAATCTTCCTCAGCTTCTGCCTGAGGAAAAAATAACAAAATAACATAAGGATTAATACACTTCAAAAAATTTTTTTAATATTTATTTTTTATTTATAGGTGAACACAATGTCTTTATTTTACTTTATGTGGTGCCAAGGACCAAACCCAGTGCCTCATGCATGCCAGGCGAGYGTTCTACCTCTGAGCCACAACCCCAGCCCCAGGATTAATACACTTTCATGTATACTGCATAAGTGTTTCCCTTTGTAATCTAATCTCCTACTCAGCTACTTGGTACTTAATACCACAATATCAATAGTTGGTGGAATCCTCTTTAAAAAGCAAGGCTGTAGGGTGCATTGGGGACCTTACTATTTATTTCCAAAGGAAAATAAGTCTGAAAGGCATATTCTTAATTCAAAATCACAGTATTAACATCACCATGAATCTTAACATTCTGTTCCYCCAAATTTAACATCAACTCCATTCATCCCCCAATCAATCTTATCTTATATAAAATAATTCAACTCCATTACTATAAATAAAGGATTTAATATAATTAGGTAAATGAAGCCCATTCCTCCATCAATATATATACTGTAAGCATTAATTTATTATCTAAACTATTTCACTTTTTCTTAGAAAAAGATGAAATAAAATACAACATCTCTGTTTTCCTTTTTGGTTCCATAACAACAACAACAAAGTATTGTCTTAACTTTTTATGAGAAAAATATTTAAATATACTCAAGAGTAAGGAGAATAGTGTAATTAATCTCCAACTAATTATGATTCAGCCTTAAAAGTTATCTATATAAACAAAAATTTCTCAATATCAAATATCCATTCATTGTATTCATATTTCTGAAAATAGTTTGTGAAATTAAGATTCAATATGTACATATGATTTCACAACCAATGTAACTCTACATTATATACAACCTGAAGAATGATTGAGTTATACTCCAAATATGTCAAATATATTCTACTGTCATGTATAATAAGATTTTTTTAAAAAGATTCAAATAAGGTATCCATATCATAGTTTATTGGTACATTTCAATTCTTTTGTAATCCTCTCATTCTGTTGTTCTCCCCCTACCACCACCTCCATACTGGGGATTGAACRCAGGGCCTCAAGCCTCTAGGGAAGTACTCTGCCTCTAAACTATGTCCATAGTCCTTTTTTTGGAGACAGGGTCTTGCTRTGTTGCTCAGCCTGTCCTTGAACCTGTGATTCTTCTGCATTAGCCTTCTGAGTAAGTCTCCTGAGTAGTTAAAATTACAGGTGTGTGCTAGAATGTCTTGTTTCTCTTTTTAATAATTTATTTGTGGTGAAAAGGGGACATTTTTCTTTATGGTTTGCAGCATTAGTAAATATGTTCCTTTGTCCTCTTACTTCCTATAAATTGTGACTAGATCTAGACAGGCTTATTTGATTTTGGTTTATTTTCTTCTTACCCAAGACTACCTCTTGGGTGAGGTTGCATTTTCCATCCAGAAGGGAAGTTCTGAAATGCCACTGACAAAGTGAAATGGCAGATGTTTTAAACACAATTGTTACAGTACAACAGACAAAAAAAAAAAAAAAACCTCAAATAATTTTTAGTGCCCACAAACTTCAGCAAGTTCTTAAACCAGAATATTGTTTCATATTAATGAAACAGGGTTGTTTTTCCATAGATTATCTTCTACACTGGTAAGTTTAATGATAACCAATCAGATAAATTTGATACAATTTTTTTAATACTGTAAAATCAACTCCACTGGACACTAGTTTACCATGTTTTAGTAGGTGGTCAGAAAGAACAATTTTGCTCAGAAAATGCTTAGTTTTGGTACAGAATTATATAAACAGTTTTTATTTTATGGATGGCTTAAGACTACAGTTCAGGGCTGGGGGTGTAGCTTAGTGGTAGAACACTTACTTAGCATATGATCCCTGGGCTGGATCCCCAGCATCACAGGGAGGAAAAACAAAAATGAAAAACTAGTCCATAGAAAGATAGACCTTCTTTTTTATAATAGGCACATTATTAAATGTGCTGTCTATAATATGACTTCTGCTTATTAATATTTTAAATGTACTAGAAAAGCTTATCAAATAATTATAACAAGAAACCTATTTTATTTGTCTTATAATCCAACTTTTACATAGTGTAGTGGTTTAAGGTGGAATAATTCTGGACTAGAAATTGTGTGTGTGGCTTTGGACTTAACAGAGGTCTCATGTTGGAATCCATCCATTTTATCCTTTATTTTCAATGTTTGTTAAAATGAATCCTACCTTCTAGTGAAAATGTTGCCTCAGTTCAGTCTGTTAGCTAACAGACTTATTAGCAAACAGAATTTGCTYAATATTCAATGTGTTCAGTCCTATTTAGAAATGTGGCAATCAGGAAAATTATGTTGAAGTTTAACTAGAATTAATAATAAAAACAATTTTATCTAGTTCCAAAGTTGGCAAGTTTTATGATTGCAAATTTTAGCTGTAAATTATTTCCAGGAAAAAAAAATGTTTCTATAACACAGTTCTTTGAACACAAAAACTTGATACACTTGCACTACATTACAGTGCAATATAAATAAGTCTTTTGTATCTTATCTCTGGAAGCCAGACTCAAAGTAGGGATGCTTTTAACACTTGAACTAGTTACATTAGTAAAATACTTGGCAAATGTGAAGGCTAAACCAGTAAAAAAAATAAATATAAGGCAGTTAAATTGGCAGCTTTGCCTACTGCTTTGGTTTGGCTTAGTGTCCCCCCAAGGTCCATGTGTTGAAGGCTCAGTTACCAGGGTGGCACTACTGGGATTTGGCAGAACATTTAGGATGTGGAGGCTTATGGGTGTAAGTGTCCTTAAGTCACTGGGGATGTGCCCTCCAAATGAGTAATKCGACTCCCTTTTATCCCTGCTTATTAGCTATAAGCTGAGCAGTTTGTTCCATGTGCTCCTGCTATGATGTACTACCTCATCAGAGGCTCAAAGCAATGGGGCTACTGGATACTGAAGTAAAACCTCTACAACCATGAGCCAAAATAAACTCCTTGTCTTCAAAAATTTATCTCAGAGTATTTTGCTATACTAACAGGAAACTAACACACCTACTAAGAACATCACTAGTAGGAGCCTGATTTATTACTGTAAACTTGAAGCACTGCCAATGGGAGAAAAGGGTTCTATAGGGTATGTTTTTTAGTAATGTACCTTTCTTTCTCTTGCCTAGCAATGAGACTATGCTGACTTCATCTGAAGAAATGCCCCTGCTTTCTCTAGATAGTGCTCTTGGTCAACTCTTCTAATTATCCGTTTTGTGTCCTCTAATACTGATAAATTATTTTTGTTTCCTTCACTGGAGTTAGTGCACTGAGGACAGGGATTGCATCTTGGTCATCTTTGTAACCTTAGGGCCAATACATTGCTTGATTCACAGTACAGGCCCATCTAGGCTTCAGCTGTCCCCTCTTCAGAGACTTCTGTGAAGAGATTTGATGATTTCTGAGATCCCTTTTCAGATGTGACATTTCATGATCAAAAGTTTATCATAAATCACCTTACAGATTTGGTTGAAAATCTATTATACTAATAAGTCTAACACCATACCAGGCTGAAAACAGGTACTCAAAAAATTAGTTGAATTAATAAAGTGTCATGTGGCTATGTAGTGCATACCTCAAGGATGGAGAAAACTGTAACAAGGCAACATCTTCCTTCTCCCCTGAACTTTGTGTTATAATATTATGAGTTCTAGCCATTACCTTGATTTTGACAGTAAAAAAATGTTGTTTTACTACATTTGGTCAATTCAAATCGTACTTGAAATAAGTTGGACCTCAGTTACCACCCAGAAGTTTCCACTTTTCTTCATAATTGAATTTGATCTAAATATCACCTTTCACTAGAATAGTTCATGTGTTGAGGAGATCAAGTCTTCATTTTACTTATTTGGCAGATAGGATTAACATAAAGGTTAAGAGCTTAATTCCGTGCAAAGGACTCAAAGTTTAGAGACAGAGTCAAATGGTTCTTTTTCCACCATCCAGTACTAGTTACAAGAAATAAATGCATTCAGCCATTTGCTTATTCAATAAATATTTGAGTTTTCTAAGAGCTAGTGTGGTACTATTTCATTCTTGATTCATCCAGTCCTGGCCAGAGTACTTTTATCAGATGGACAATTTATTCGATACCAAAGAAAGGCACAGGGGAAGGACTATATAGTCCATGCAACAGTTCCATGACATTTGTGCTGTCAAATTCTGGAGCTTAGCTGTTTCTCCTTTTGGACTTTAAAGAAGCTGCTTAGGCCCTCAATGCCATGAAAGTGAGACAGGATCTTTCCATTCCCACTCCCCCAGGACCACCTGCCAACATCCTAGCCAGGCACTGCGTTTAAACTCAGAGCTCCTGAAAGGGGCTGGAATCGCCTCTCTGTGGGCTTTGCTTTCCAGAAGAGGAGTAATCAACAAGTGTCTGCTTGCCAGGGCTCCCTCCCGAATTCGGATGCTGGGAATGCTCACCTCAATCCTCAAAAGCACACTGCTTTTGATAAAATCACTGAAGAGGGACGAGACTAGTTCTGCCTAGTAAGTCTGGGGCATTTTTCTGCGATGTACTGCAAAACGCTCTCTCCTCACATCAGGGCTCACTTGGGTGGGGGTGTCGTTTACCAGAAATGAACCCTAGGAACCTGCAGAACCAGTATCCCGTTCACTCCCCCTCAGACCAGGACCCTATATTGGTGGTGACCGTGCAGCTCCCACTCGGCCTTCAGCCCCAAGCCCGACCCCTCTTGCACACCGCACCCGCGCCCGCCCCGCAGCGTCCCCAGGACCCCCTCCCCAAGTTACCATGMTGGCGGGGCGGCTGGCCGCGGTCGAGGGGCTCTCTGCGCCCCCTCTGCACCGCCCCCCTGGAGAGGGGTGCTCGGTGTCGGGTGTCTACTCCTGCCTGTCTACTGCAGCTGGGCTTAGCAGAGTTCTCGGTCGGAGAAGCGCACCAGGCAGCGGCAGTAACTGCGGGCCCGGCGTACGGCAGCCATCTTCGCGGGACAGGGGGCCAGATCCGGGCGCGCTGGAGCGGCGGCCGGGAACTCGGGCTGCGGAGGGGCGCCGGTTGCCCACCGAGGACCGTACGAGTACCAGAGCGACGGCCCTGCTGGAGACCTCAGACGCCGCTGCGGAGCTGCCCGCTCTGCTGCGGAAGCCTGCGCCGACGCACCGAGCATGCGCAGTGTCGCCTCCGCGGTCGGTGCGCGCCTCGGGCTGTCTGGCCGCTTTGCCCTAGCTAAGGGCCAGCGGGGCGTCGGCCTACTATGTGTGCGACCAGAATCCGGAGTGCGGCACTCTGTCCCCTGTGTTCGGCCCAGTGAACACCCAGGGAAATGTGAACAGASGTTAACTCAAAAAAATGTTTTCTCCTAAATTTGAGGGTAAGCCCTAATTAAGCCGTCCGGAGGAGAATCAAACCCGAGACTCCAGAAGATCGCGACACCGCCCTGGGTACTCTGTGTGTGCGCGCGCCAGAAATGCAGCCGCATTCATAGGCTGTTATGAAAATTAATCTTAAGAGCACAGACTCTTAAGACTGAGGAAAGGATGCGCTTATGTGCGCTGCAGGAGGGTAGGAAAACGGCCAAAGTGAGGAGCATCCCCCTACAGATCCCACAATGCAATGGGGGAGGCGTGCAGCTCTGGCGGAGCTGGAGTCCTGCCGAGTSGGGCTGGCGGTGCACTCTGGGATTTATAGTCCGCTACTGCACGCTGCGCGCCAGGATTTACTCACCGGCTTGCTCCACCTCTTAAAGCTCAAACACCTTATTTCACTTGAAGGGGAGGCCCACTGGTTTAGCACTACAAATCTTTATGGGTGTATGTTTTAAGAAAACATATAGGCGACATAGCCTCTTACCTTCATTTAGCAAATAAGAGTTTCTAAAGTTTCTGTAAGTGCCAGCGATTAATGGTCACCARGATTCCAAGAACCCATATTTAGCAAGCTCACAGAATTTAAATTTCATTATTTTATTCTGAAGCACCTAGAAATGCATCTACTGCAGAGAACTGGATGCCAAAAAAACAAACAAAAAACGGGCAGGGTTTGATGAGCTACAAATAAGAAAACCCAAATGCTATATTTTAATTTTAGAATACATCTTTTGGTTGGGTGTGCTTTTATTTATACCCCAAACTAACTACCTATAAAAAAAAAGTACCCCCATATTTAACAGAGGCCAACAATTTAATAGTTTTAAAAGGAGACTATAAGATTTTAAGTCTTTTAAGGAAAAATTTCCTCCCAATGACCTCTTTAAAATTGAATTTTGAAATTTAAATTGAGGAAAAAGTTTAGGATTTATAGCAGAAGAAAATGATTAAAGGGACTCTTGAATTCTAAATATCAATTTTGCAAATGAAGAATGGGATTTCAAATAGTTTGAGAACTATTGAAAAGTGTTGCATGTTTAAGGTGGTCTGGTCAATTAGCACAGATGGTTTTTGTTATTCTAGCAAGTAATTAAATAATAAAAATAAATATTTATAAAGATAAGATGAATACCCGTTTTATTAAAATACTGTTATACTTCACAGCTATTAGTTTTCTCATTTAGATCAGTTCCACTGTATCAAATAGCCCTCATTACAGGATTGTATTTTGTCATATTGTATTTACAGRGCTGTAATTTTTCCAGAAAGTTTATTCCATTTGTGAGGTAGATTTGCCTGGACAATTAGACTAAAAACTAATCATTTTAGTTATTTTAAAAATTGTTTTTCATAGGAGTAGTATATGATTCATTAGACTCCTTGTCTCCCTATGTTTTCACTGATGATGATTTGCAATTTTCATTTGCCATATGGTTTGGCAATTGCTAAGTAAACAAAAAGGTAGATAAATGTTATACGTTTGCCCAGTAGGATGACCCTTTACCTCTTGGAAGAGGAAACCTTAGGATTCTTAACCAACTAGTAGGTTTCTTCAACAGGAGAAAGAGGAGGGATATAGTGATGAACTGGGAAATTTAAACTCAGAGAAAATCTTCAATGTGTTGAAGAGTTACTGATTTGTTAGTTAAAATTGTGTTGTTTAAGGAAGTGTGATTCCCCTGACCAGCAACATCAACACTAGAAAGCCAAGTGTAGGTCCCTCAAATTTGTTTTAAATAGCCCTCCAGGTGATTCTGGTTGCTCCTGAAAATGATTGAGAGGCTTGCAACAGTTAGGTAAATTTAAACGAGGGATCTGGAAGCAATTTCTTTTTATAAAGTGCTTCACAGCCAAGCCTTATGATTTAAGGTAAAGTCTATAATATAATTGTGAAAAAGATAATATGTTTAAAAGGCGTATGTGTTAGATGAAACATAACTAGCACAGAAAGAACGAATATTATGTAGAGGACGTGTATTAAGCCTCCCAACCTGGATAAGGAATTCAGTCTTTTAAATTAAAGGTGCTAGTATTGTAGACACTCTTAAAGATTCAAGGGAATGCTACAGTGAATTGGTTGAGTTTTTATTTTAAACATTTTTCTATTATAAAATATATATAACAAAATTTGCTGTTTTAAACATTTGGGAGGGTACAATTCAATGGCACTGGTTGCCCTCACAATGTCGTGTAACCTCAGCTTATGTATTTTAAAACCAGGAACATGTTTCAGCCGGATTACCTTTAATTAGTGGTGCTCAGAGCATGCAGCGACAGTCTCCATTTCTAAATCTTGACAGCCGATCTGTCGGTGGACTTCGGGTTCTGGGCAATCGGTCCCCGAGCTCTCAGCCTCCTCGGCGGGGCCCAGGGCGAACTGGCCGCGCTGCAGGGACGCGCAGGGCCAGCGAGGGGAGCTGCAGGGTAACTTTTCCCAGGGAAAGCGGCCGGTCGTCCTCACTAGCAGCCACCCTGCCTTTTGTTTGTTTTCCTGAAGGAGGCTGGAGAGCAGCCGGGTTCCAGCTGCACTGCCATGCGCCCCGCGGCCCGGGCGACTCGCCGGACCTGCCGGGCGTCCCTGCGCGGAGCCTGCGGCCCATCCTAGCAGGCATCGCCCCGCTTTCCAGTTCCCGGGCCGGCGGCGGCGCCCCACTCGCCGACGAGCTGCGCTCTCCGCAGGGGCGGGCCCCCGCCTGAGTCCGCGGCACCAGTAAGTGGGGCTCGTGGATGGAGGGGCTGCGCCCCGCGCCCTGCCAGGCGGGGTGGGGGGTGGGCTGGGGCAGCCGAGGTCCCCTGTCGATGGCCCCGCGAAGCCTGGGGGGCAGGAAGAAGCTAAGCCGCTGTGGTTCCTCGGAAACCGCGGTTGTATGGGTGTCTCTCTCCTGGCATGAAAACTCCCGAGTCTGGAAGATTTTGATGGGTGTGTTTACCTTTACCTCTGAGAGAGGGGGGAAGATCTTGGCCCCCTTGAAGCCTCTCCGGGGATGTTGAGGACTTGGTCTTGCAATTTTCTTAACTAGGCCCTTGGCTGTCCCGCAAGGGGTCTGTCTGAGCAAGAACCCCCACATACTTATTTGCAACCATTTTTCACTGAATTTCTTTCTGCTCTGATTTCTGTTTTACTAACCTGAGTAGATGTTTTGAGAAGGAGACTGAAGGATTTGACTGAATAACTGTTTCTTTTGTAACGTTGGCCTTTTAAACTTTGACAACAACAGTAAGAGCTTGTGTAGAACGCAGTTTAATGCATCATTCTGCTGAGAAGAACATTCATTCCCACTTATAACTAAGTAAAATTTTGCGTTTGCTATAAAGCTGGGCTAGGCTGAGGGAATACCACCCTGAATTTTGCCAGCGGACTGGATTTTTCTAAGGTATTGATGTTCATTATTTATTTATTTATTTTTGGCCTTCAGCACTAGAAGTTTGATAGTTACAGTTTTCATTTCCTAGTGAGTAAGGTTTCAGGGTGTGCCTCAATAGTGAATGGTGCCAATGCTGAATATAAAATTTAAATGAGTTTTAAATTTGTATCAACATATGAATTATTAAGAAGAATTTGTGCCTCAGCCATATGCCTAACTGTGCAAGGAGTTAATATATGCATAAATATGCACATTTGAAATAGTTTCGGAACAAAGCTCTACAATTTGGTAAAGAATCTTTACCAAAAAAAAAAACAAAAAACCTCTTCCTATCTATTTGAGGACAAGAATTATAAAACCCTAGGAAGTGGGTGTAGAAATGAGAGAAGTGCTGGGATTTTTTATTTTAAATGACATTCTGTACCATTTCCATCCCAATCCCTAAGGTCTAACCCTACAGTGACCCTGCACATTTTTGGTTTCTCCCTTTCCACTTTGTTTTGTCCACTCTGCCAAGTCAAAATGGTGGCTGGGTGGGAAGGAAGGGGACAGCCATGGTTCAGATGGTGGAAGGCCGTGTTGGAGGCTTGATAGAGCTTCCTGGGTAAGCACAACCTGTCTTCCTTGCCAAGGCAAGAACATTTACAGCAGTCACAAAGAAGTGTTTTTCCTCACTGAAGTTTCTTCCCTACAACGTGTACAGGCACTACCAGGATAATGAACAGGCCATTTGGAGTTTTATTTATTGACTTTTCAACATCATCAAAGCCCTTTTCATACTTTCCCTGTTTGCTGTTTGTTTTTATCCTCTTTGCCTTTTGAGGTTCCTAGTAAAGGTGGAAATTATGTCAATCTTGAAACTTTGGAATTTCTTTATGATCTTCTCCTTCATTTCTGACATCCTTTGTATTATCAAGTCATCAAGACCTTTGAAATATGTTTTCTACAGATCATTCCCTCTGTACTCTACTTCTGCCCTCTCACTTCCTCTCCTACAGCACTGGATCCACCTTTTATTCAGCCTCCCAAGACTGACTCTTAGTGAGCCTTCAATAAATGTTTGCCCAATGAATGAATGAACAAATGAACGAGAAGCTTCCTTCTCTGGGCTCTTCAGCCTTCTGTTGCCCATCTAATTTTC